ATTGTAGAATTAATGCAGTTTGACCCCATTTCAACTGCCATGGCTGAGTACTTACTATGGAATCTTGGGTATTAGGCATGTGCAAAAAAAATGGAAGTGTCAGAAATTGTAAGAAAATCAGACGTTTTGTAATTTCGAAGCCATATCCAAAGGGTTTGTGTGGCCCATACCAAATATTTTAGAATCGAAACTTACCCTATACTTTTTCGTTTTAGTTTTGTAAATCTCAAAATGCTCCCAAAGTCAGTTTTATTTCGAATCTTTGCTATTCTAAGCACATTAACTGTATGGTATAGAATTATATGCACAAGAAGGTATTGTTGGCTGAAAACAAGACAGGAGAGGAAGGAAAGATGCAAAGCGAAAACATCAGCATTATAATAAATAAATAGGATGTTTTGTTATCTGGAAACAGAATGTGGCCTTCAGTATTGTCATTCATGTAGAAACAGAAGAGACCTTTAAAAAGAGAAGGAAAGGTCAGAAAATAAACATTCATATGATTTAATTAAGAGGCAGTGAATCATTTGAAAATTTAGTTAAACTTCCTCCTATCACTGAGTTTTATAAAAAAAATCATTGCTGTGCAGAGTATCATTGTTGTTCAGTGCTTGGAAATAACTTGATGTAATTAATGATATTAAAAATAATGACAGGCACTGGGTAGATAGCATCAGCTCTAGTTTCTTAGATATGGTTATCATGCTTTTCTGTGGGTGAGCAAATGATGACTGGTATGTGGCATCTGTATCTCAAAAACTAGAGTTGATAGGAAAAAAACGGTGCCATTTTTGTAATCTGCAGGTCAGGTATACACAAAAACATGTCTACGTTGCTTCTAGAACATGGCAATACAACCTGAAAAACCCACAACAACCCAGTGATTCCGACCATGAAAGCCTTTGACAATACATCCTAGAGATAACTTATGTGTTAACTTCAGGCAGAAGCATACCATAGAATCACCTGCCCTGGACATAGTTTGCCAGATGCATGTAGGTAAAACCCACAGGTATCAGCCCTTCAGGTATATACTGGGGTTGCATTATACCAACTCTTTACACAGTGGTTCAAGGGAATGAGTGAGAGGTTAACTCATCTTAGCTTTTGCAACAACTCTGTAAAATGAATTAGGTAAAGCTTAACTGATGCACGAAAGAGTGAGAATTTGAACTCAGTTCTTCCTCAACCAATTCTACACTCTAAACATTATCTTGAATGTCATACATCATGTACGTATGATATATACAGATGGACGCCTGGCTCAAGAGCAGTATGTATGAAAATGATCTTGGAGTTCTCGTGGACACCAAGTTAAACATGAGCCAACAATGTGCTGCAACAATGAAAAAAGCCAATGAGATTTTGGCCTATATATAAAAAGTGTCAAGATCCAGGGAAGTCATACTATCCCTCTATTCTGCCTTGGTCAGACCACACCTGGAATACTGTGTCCAGTTCTGGGCACCACAGTTGAAGGAAGATGTCGACAAGCTGGAATGTCCAGAGGAGGGTGAATAAAGTGATCAAGAGTTTGGAGAACAAGCCCCATGAAGAGTGGCTCAAAGAGCTGGGCATGCTTAGCCTGCAGAAGAGAAGGCTGAGAGGAGACATGATGGCCATGTATAAATATGTGAGGGGAAGTCATAAGGAGGAGGGAACAAGCTTGTTTCCTTCTGCCCTGGAGACTAGGACAGCAGGAAACAATGCCTTCAAATGACAGGAAAGGAGATTCCACCTGAACATTAGGAAGAACTTCCTAACCGTGAGAGCTGTTTAGCAGTGGAACTCTCTGCCCTTCTTTGGAGGCTTTTAAACAGAGGCTGGATGGCCACCTGTCAGGGGTGATTTGAATGTGATTTTCCTTCTTAACAGGGGGTTAGACTGGATGGCCCATGAGGTCTCTTCTGACTCTTTGATTCTATCTTTTCTCTGAGATCCATCATTTAACACTGAGTGATTTGTTATTTTCCGATTTCATGCTATAGATTGCCAAGCTGTATAAATGCATTCATGCACAGCTAGGCTGTGTGGGTGTCTTCGCTCAATAAAGCCTTCTAATTTATACAGGAACGTACCAGAAAAGGAATGTGGTTATAAATACACCTAAATAAGTCTAGAAATGCCATCCATAAAAATTCAGAATTCTAATTTTAGTGGAAGTGTTCAGTTTTTCCCCAGATCAGTTTATATGGAAAGATCACATTATTGGCTATCGATTAGATTCCTTCCTTTACCATCCTGGTTTCTCTTGAGTAGGTATACTCTAAATTTATAGTCTGCACTTCCCGAGGAAAGATTTCTTGGTACGTTTCAGAACATTTTTTGTTTGTTTGAAAAGACAATCCATTCTCTATCGGTTGAACTTTTCACCCTGGTGAAATCCTTTGGAAATGAGCAGAGAACTGTCTTTCTCCATATAAATAAACTATATCTATGTCAGTCTAGAATTGTATTTTTCTGAGATTTTATTATTGCTCCCAATTACAGTTGACACATTTAATCAATCACATTTATGTCCAGTCAGCCCTCCAAATCCACAGATTCTGTATCCATGGATTCAGTTATTCACAGCTTTAAAATAGTCCAAATAAATAAATGTTTCCAAACTGGGTGTGTTTAATTTGGAGAAGAGAAGTGTTCAGAGGCAACATGATAGTCTTGTTTTAATATTTGAAAGGATGTCATATTGAGGAGAGAGCAGGCTTGTTTTCAGCTGCTCTAGAGACTAGGAAACAGAGCAATGGATTCAAAGTGTAGGAAAACATTAGGATCAGAGCTGTTTGACAATGTAATGCGCTGCTTTGGAATGTCATGCAATCTTCTTTTAAAAAAAAACAACAGTTTTTTAAAAACCAGACAGGATGGCCATTTGTTAAGAAGAATACCTTGATTGTATATTCTTGCATGCCATGGATGGGTCAAAATGGTCTTGTAGTTCCTTACAGGTCTGATTCTATTAGTGTTCCCTCAAGACTTGGCGGTTCGCTTTTCGTGGACTCGCTATTTCGCGAGTTTTGCCTCCTGGAAGGGGGTTTCACCGTCCCCCTTGGGAGAGAGGCAGCCAAACATAAAAAAGAGAGAGAGGAGATACAAAGCAGTACGTAAATCATGGCCTTATAGCCCCTTCCTTATAGCTAGCCAAAAAAAAAAAAAGGTGTGCAGTGCCCTTAAATCTCTCCTTGCTTCTGCCTCACTCTCAGAATGCTATATATATATATATAGAGAGAGAGAGAGAGAGAGAGAGAGAGGAGAGAGAGAGCATCCCTACTTTGCGGATTTTCGCTTTGAGTGGGTAGTCCTGGAACATAACACCTGCAATAAGTGAGGGAACCCTGTACATCCCGAACAGACTACTGTAACATGCTCTGCATGAGGTTGCCTTTGAAGACTGTTCAGAAAGCTTCAAATAGTCCAACCGACAGCAGCCAGGTTGATCACCAGAGTGGCATACAGGGAGCCTACAACCAGTTTGCCATCGAGCACAATTAAAAGTGTTGGCTTTAGTCTAGAAAGCCCTAAATGGTTTTGGCCCAGCTTACCTGTCTGAACGTATCTCCTCCTATGAACCACCTATGAGATTAAGATCGTCAGGGGAGGCCCTGTGCTCAGTCTCACCACCTTCACAGGCGGATTTGGTGGGAACGAAAGATAGGTACTTCTCAGTGGTGGCCCCTCGGCTATAAACCTCCCCAGTAATATTAGAGCCGTGCCCTCCCCCCTGGCCTTCAGAAGGAAACTGAAAACATGGTTTTGGGGTCAAGCCTTTGGAGATTAACTACAGTGCAGTAATAACTATGAAATATGTGCAATGATGCTTGGAACAGCTGGGTGGCATGATTTTAATACTCTTTATAATGTTATATGTCTTAATGTGCATTTTAACTTTCATTTTAAATTTAAATGTATTTAATTGTCTGTTGTCTAAAGGCATCAAATAGTTGCCACATGTAAAGCCACCCTGAGTTCCTTTTGGGATAGAGAAAGATGGGATACAAAAATAAATAAACAAATAAATAAGACTTTAAAGTCAAAAATTAAGTCTTGTTTTTGCAACTTTGTATAAGAGACACATGCATGTCACAGGAACTTGAGCAGCCTTGTATTTTGGTATCCACAGGGCATCCTGAAACCAAACCAATGGATAGTAAGACTCCAATGTACCAAATTACCACCGATTTAGTAAGTATGGATTGGAGTAATAATACTGGCCAATATGGGTGCCTCAAATGTTAGGCCTGTTTCTAGGTATATGTGGTCTGCTGACTCCAAAAATGGCACCAGGTTCCCTCTATCAACTCTAGTTTTTGATATACAGAACATAAGCCATCTACCAATCTTCATCTGCTCACCCATAAGAAATCATGATAACCATATCAAAAAAGTAGACCCGAGTGAAAGAGAATTGGCTGATTTGAAATGTGGGAATACAGGTGGATCTCTAGAGCCAGTCAAGAAAGCCAAAGCCCTGAGCTTGCAGGCAAATGGCAAGTCTTGGAGGTCTCGTATTCATAGAGCAACAGAAGTTGAGGCCAGCTTGATGGCAAGTAACAGCCCAACAACAACTGTTCCTTTTTACCTTCCAGTTTCTCTTCTTGGCCCTTCTTCTTCTCCTCACACCTGGGTTATTCTGGACAGATGGTTCCCAGTGCAACTCTTTCAAGGAGATTGCATTGCTCTGCCATCTTTCCATCATTAACAGATTGTTTCGTAATAAGAAAGACCACAGAAGAAGAGGGGTGAGATGCTGTTACAGGTGGAAGGTAAACACTGGGCTAGAGTTTGGAAACATTACGGTTTTGAACAAGAGCTCCCAGAATGTAGATGTTTTGTATACAGAAATGTGTAAGATTTCCAAGCTCTGATACAAATCTATCAATAATGAAGCAGGGTATTTTCCGTACAAAGAGTTAGTTTGGCAGTATCCTAACCTTGGTGCAACCCCAGTGACATACTCATTTACAGTAACCTGTGTGAACTAAAGGGAATCCAAAGTTAAATGCTGACATTGCGTTTATTTCTTGTAAATGGTGACCACAAAATAACATCATGGGTCATATTCATTTCTTTATTTTTTCTTTTCAAAATTGTTCCAGGGCTCTAAGCCATAATAAGACACTGAGGCCAATCACAGAAACTAGCGAGTAAGGTTAGCAAATGAACATAAAATATGGCAGAGATATATATGTTGATACAATTTGTCAGTGCGTTCACAAAGCCACCATAATGGCATGATTTTGACTCCAGATCAGCATATGTGAAACCCAAATGAAAAAAGCCACAGAATTGGCATGAATCTCGAAATATCTTTTAAAAAATACTTAATATTTCTAAATATTTTTATTGCAGTCATGCTGATATAAGGGAAGACTTATTCTAAGGCACTGAACTGGAATATGTGGCAGTGGACTCAAATAACCCAGTTCAAAGCAGATATTGTGGGTTCTTCTGCCCTGATATTCTGGGTTATTTGGCTGTGTGGAAGGGCCCCTGAGTAGAAGAGTGCCATCATCCAGTTCTATCCCATGTTAATCACCAGACTGATTTTGAGAAGGCTGTAGTGTACCAAATTGTTTAGTGTTATTTTAACTCTATATGTGATCTGTATCAGGTCTTATAGGCTGTACCTCCCCAGAGGCCTTCAGTGTAGTCATCTATGAGAGCCATAAACACTCCACCTTGCAATGATCCTCTCCGTATAGGCTTCTCCCATCTTTCATCCTTAAATCTGCTCTTTGAGAGATGGGAGAAGAACTTAATCTGCACTAGAAGGCCTTTATCAGACAACGAGCATTGTAGGAATTCTCATTTCCAGAACATCATGAAAAGCATGCATGAACATCCAAGGCCTTCAAGACTACTGTGATTCCATCATGACCTCAGTGAGGGGCTAGAGACAGATAAGGGTGGTATTGCATCTAAACATGTTTTACAGAATTCTATACCATGATATGCACTGGCTATTAATTTGCACATGCCAAGAAACTAGACTAATTTCATCAGGCTTGGCATGTGGCTCGATGCAGTGTGGGACTTCTTCTGAGATTTATGAACTCCAGTGAATCCTTCCTGAATTTGCCCAGCCAGATTCCCCAAAGTACCACCTGAAGCTAGTTTTCTTTGTGCGGAGGATAATCTTTATATTCATTGAAATATACGAAATGTTCAAATGGGCTGAATAAAAGTTTCAAACAAGAAGATCTCCTTATTCGTCTTCACTGGTTTCATAATTGGTCTTCCTTGGTTTCATAACTCCTCTAGATCTTATGCAGGCACATCAATGTTTCATTTGCTCTTCTTCTTGTAAATGTCAAGTATTACTATTGAGTCACCTGTATGAGGGCAAAGAGGAACAAAATTGGTTGTTGGAGAGATGAGTAATGAAGAATACAACAAAACATGACAGGAAGAGAGCTATGAATGAGCGTAGGAGTTGGCAACTGCCAGCACTAAATAAAATCTGGCCACTGGAATGAGGCTGGCTGTTGTTTCCTGCTACTAAGTGCAAAGTAAATGTGGGATATGACTTGACGGAGGATGGCAGGAGACAAAGAAAAGGCTTTTCTCCTCTCCTCAGAACACCTGCATCTTGTTGGAAATAACTACTTTCTCAAGCCTCCACTAGTTGTTGTTGAAGGCTTTCATGGCCAGAATCACTGGGTTGCTGTAAGTTTTTCAGGCTGTATGGCCATGTTCCAGAATTATTTTCTCCTGACATTTCACCTGCATCTACAGCAGGTATCCTTAGAGGATGCAAGATCCTCACAACCTCTGAGGATGCCTGCCATAGATGCAGGTGAAACGTCAGGAGAAAATGCCTTTGGAACATGGCCATTCAGCCTCAAAAACTTAACAGCAACCCTCCATTAGTTGTTTGTTATGTATATAATTGCTTACTGTATTGTATATGTGTGTATTGGTTTTAATCTCTTTGTTGTGGGAGGGGCTGCAGAACATGTGATCAGAACCAGGCTTGTTCAGGACTCAGACTCCATTTTAGAAACAGTTTGCTTTCAGATGCCTTTAGACGACTGTAGGAACAGTGTACAGTTTAGACTTCAGTGTAGAGAGTTCAGTTTAGTAGGAACAGTACGCTGTACAGAAGCCAAGAGACTCTATTGGACTTTTAGACTAGACAGAGACTCTATTATACTCTCAGAACAGAGAGATGTTTTGGACTATGGAATATTGTTTCTAAGAATGATGTCTTGTGTAACCTACACAGAGAAACTACTTAAAATCCTATTGTAACTGAATACATATACAAAGTACCTGTATGCTCAATACATGAAGTTTGTGAGGAAACCAACTATGTTACTTTTAAAGAAGTCTGCTTATTTTGTCTCTTCAGAACATGATTTAAAGGCAAATATATTTTAAGGGAGAGTAGGTGTTTTTTGGGCAACTAAAACGAACACTTCTGAAACTCTGATGTATATCTATCTATATCTATGGGTTGGTCCATGAAGTCCATGAAGCAACTGAACAAATAAACATATGAATGAATGCTGGTGAATGCCATTTTCCCAAAAAGGTTATGACTCGAACAGGTCATGTTTTTACCAAGAGGTTATGGCATCATTTTCAAAGGTCATGCCTTTCCAAATATTATCAATTTTCCAAAAGGTTCTGGAGATTTCCATTTTCCAAAATCTCTACACTGAAGTACTAATGCAATTTGACACCATTTCAACAACCTTGGTTCAATGCTATAAAATTGTGGGAGTCGTAATTTTACAAGCTATTTAGCCTTCTCTGGCAGAGGGAGCTGATGCATCAACAAACTACAACTTCCATAATTCCACAATGTTGAGCCATGATAGTTAAAGTGACATCAAACTGCATTAATTCTACAGTACAGATGCACCCGAATTGTGTGTGCATTCTACCGTTTCATGAATTATAATAGCAGGCAATCTCTCAAATAAGAGGCAGGCCACTTACTCCAGCATAATTACTGTAGATGAACAGTAACTAGAAAAGTTACATCTTTTGGATTAAAATGCTCAGAATTCCTCAGGCTGATTAAAAGATTCAGCAAAAAAAAATACATTCTAGCCTTTTCTAAATTCTGGCATTGCCAAAAGCCTTATATAACATTAAGATTTTTGGGTAGATCTACATTTTTACATAAAGGTCTAAAGTCTTTGCTTTTAAGCTTCATCACACACACAGGAAGACTTGTAAGCAGTAGGGACAATATTTTGTAATATACATAGGGATACTCTGCCCCTGAAAATGGCAACGGTCAAACGTGGTGGCCATTACAAACTCAAGGAGCTTCCAAGGTGAACCTGTCAGAGCATTTTTTGTGAGGTTTATTCAGAGGGTCTTTACCATTGCCTTTGTCCTCTGTTGAGAAAGTAGGACTTGCTCAAGGTCAGACAGTGGCCTTCCATGTCTGAACAGGGCTTTGGACATTGTATCCTAGAGTCCTAGTCCATAACAAAAACAACTACATCACGCTGGTTCACAATTGGAACTTACTCTGTCCAAATGAATGCATGCATGTATAGAAATTACTGGCATATAAGATAATTTTGCCACAATAAGTGACTATAGAAATTCAGTACATGTCTGGGAAGTAGGGATAGCAAAGAAAAATTGGGAAAATCAGACATGCTGGTCAGCTATAAGTAACTGGAATTGTCACGCAATTACTAGGCAGAGAAGCTATGATGGTACTCACCCCAAATCATGCGACAGAAAAATTCTCCTATGTTATATATAATCAATAGGATGATAAAACTCGCCAGAAAAAAGCCTGCTTTGGCGAGTGGATTTAGAGCCTCAAACACGGGGTATACCCACTTTCCAGTCACAGAGTAAATCCATAGGACCCTAAGAAATAAGAAAAAGTTAGAACATATCAAACTTTTTAAAAAAACAACAACAACAAAACAACATTGAGTTCAAACTAGACATGTAATGTATCTGTGCCACAGTTATAGAAGTCTCCAGCCCATCCTCTGTTCAGATATCAGCCAGCATGCCAACACCTTAAATCAAGAAATAGCTTTCTAAGATCTACAGAGATACTTGCAGGAACAACTCAGCAAGCGAGAGTCCAAAAGTGGCAGACTCAATACCAGAACTTCAATCCATGGATGATACCAAATGAAAGAACTCCCTCCTGGGCACACAAAAGACTGGACGACTTGGAAGGTACTGAACAGACTGTGCTCTGGAACCATGAGATGCAGGGCCAACCTTAAGAAATGGGGCCACAAAGTGGAGTCCACAACATGCAGGCGTGGAGGAGAGTAAACCACAAACCACCTATTACAATGCAGTTTGAGCCCTGCCACATGCACAATGGAGGACCTTCTCACAGTGACACCAGAGGCACTCCAAGTGGCCAGCTACTGATCAAAGGACATTTAGCATAATGCCAAGTTTTTAACGTTGTGTTTTAAATACATTTTAATGGTACCCTCAATTTGCTTCTGACATGATAAATAGTTATAGAAGTTTCACACAATTCTATGGGATCATATGATTTTTAATTCAATTTGCACTGTATTGTTGAAGGCTTTCATGGCCAGAATCACTGGGTTGTTGTAGGTTTTTCAGGCTATATGGCTATGTTCTAGAGGCATTCTCTCCTGACTTTTTGCCTGCATCTATGGCAAGCATCCTCAGAGGTTGTGAGGATGCTTGCCATAGATGCAGGCGAAATGTAAGGAGAGAATGCCTCTAGAACATGGCCATATAGCCCGAAAAACCTACAACAACCCAGTTTTCACTCTTTGAACTATAGTATTATGGCCCTCTAACAGCGAATTCTAAGTACCTCCCCCAACTAAAAATCCCAGGATTATGTAGAATTATTAAAATGGCAGTTTAAAGTACAATCAAATGACTCTCTTGTGTTGCATTTCTTCTCATACTTATTATAAGCCTATTGGAATCGATAAACTAGTCACAAGAAGGACTGGTGCCTGTATATTCTTAGGGTTTTTTTCTCTTCCCATCTTCTTTTCCCCACCCTTCAATGTCATGTCTTTTTGTAAGCCCAAGGACAAGAAATTGTCTTGTTGTTATTGATCTGTAAGCTACTCCAGGAGTCTTTCTGGCTGAAGAGTAGCATAAAAATGCTTTCAATAAACAAATAAATGTCAGATTGAGATGTACGGGGACTGGATCCAAACCAAGGCATGTTTAGTGTAGACTGAAAATACAGGCACTCATTCTTCATTACCCATAATTCCTAAATTGACTTCTTGTGATGGGAACACGTTGTTCCCAGTTGAAAAGCAGATATCTATAGTCTCTAAGAAATCTCCTGGTGACTCAATCTTCTACAAACCCAATTGAGGTTTTGTTGCTGGTGGTAACCAGACATTTTTTGTTCTGGGAATGTCTACTTGGGAGCCTGACCTACAGATAGAGCTTTGGAAAGTCACTTTTCTGGGATAATTCCATGAAAGCCATAGGCTGGATCTACACTGCCATATAATTCAGTATCTGATCCCAGATTATCTGCTTTGAACTGGATTACAAGAGTCTACACTGCCATATAACCCAGTTCAGAGCAGATAATCTAGATTTGATATAACAATGTAGATGGGGTCATGGGGAATATAACCAGTACTCATCTGGGTTGGGAATTTCTTGGAGCTGTGGTCCAAAATCTAACTTTCCCAAACTTTGGTGGAAGCTGTGTGATGTGGTTAAAGTTATGTATTTGTTTAACCATCTGATTGTACATCATTTTGCACCTCATGCAGAAGGGCATCATAATCCAACCTTTATGGCACTTTCTATCTTCTAAGACCTTGCATGTAAATGCAAAGAGTGTGTGCAAGCACCTCAGGTGGGAAAATGGCTCTATAGCCCCTCTTTTACTGGAGAACTAAAAAAAACCTTAAAGGGAAGGTTGTAGAGGTAGGAAATGTACAGCAGGGCTTGTAGGATATTAGGAATGATAACTGGAGCCGTGAATAGGAAACATTATTTGAGCCAGCTTAGAGGGAAAATGTGCATGTGTTTTCAAACAAGTGGTCTGGTTTCTAAATAATCTTACCCAGGTCTTGTCTACACAGATTTAAAAAATCATATCCACTCATTGGTACTTTGATATGACGCATGTGATTATTTGTTTGCAATGTGTTTCTTTGAGTCTTATACAATTTCACAAACCTTGCCCTTTACTTCAAGGTTTTACAGAAAATCTGGACTTTTCGTAATGTGGCTAACCTTCCTGGCAGCATCCCTTTTCTATGCTACTGGGGGAAGGAGTTTGTGGTGGACAAAGCTGGCTGGTAGGAAGTGAGCATTTCTGATAGGAAGTGGCCCTTTCCTGGATTTAATGTTATTTTTTTTGAAAAAAGAAAGTTTATATGTAAGGATATTTGCATATCAGTATTAGCACATCCCAACTTAACAGAAAATATGTTTATTTTCATGAATGGAGGATCATCCTTGGCTATGTGATCAAAAATAATATGAAGGATCGAAAATGCAAACCACTCCTTAACAGCAAGGTTAGTTTGGCAAAGAGAAATGGGTGGCCAATTATGGCAATCTCATCACAATATGTGTATCATTAATGGGAGCAATACAGACTGGGGAAATGTGATGTCAAACAGATTTTTTTTTTCACCAGTGTGGACAAATCCCAAGAGTCCAGAAATATCTAGTACATTATTTCTATTCCAAAAAGAAATGTTTACTATCTGGTTCAGAGAACACTATCCAGTGTATTCAACGTATTTGGAATTCTCTCCTGACTGTTAGCTGTAGTCCAAGATATTTTACTTTTGGCACTACCTTACAGTTAGTTAATTTCTCCAGGTTAACAATATTGCTTTTAGATTGGTTCTTAGTTAGAAATACAGATTTCTCTTTATTAATTTTAAAGTCTGACACAATGCTAAATTTGTTGATAATCTCCAATAAAGTATGTGTGTTTCTTAAAGGGTCCCTTAAGAAGCAGACCAAATCATCTGCATATGCCTTCCCTTTAAATTCAAACCCTTTAACCTTAACTCTTTTAATTGCTAGCTTTTCTAATTCTGCTGTTCAACATTTCTAATATCCAAATAAACAATAGAGGCGAAAGTGGACAGTCTTGTCTTGTCCCTTTTTGAATTTCTATATAACTTGACATTTGGCCATTTATTTTCAGTTTGACCCTTTGTCTTGAATAGATAGCTCCTATGGCCTTTCTAAAGTGTTGACCCATTTCAAAATGGTCCAGTACTTTAATCATATAATCCCACCACACATTATCAAATGCTTTCTCCACATCTAAAAACAGTAATGCAATCTCTCTGCTTGGGTCTTGTTCAGCACACTTTATGTTATCTATCACCATTCTCAAATTTTGGCTCAGATGTCTACCTGGGAAGAAGCCTACTTGATTCCCATGTATTATTTTGGCTAAAATTTGTTTTAAACTGTTTGCTAAAAATTTTGCAAATAACTTATAATTCTTATTGACTAATGAAATTGGTCTACAGTTCTTCACTTGCTCCATGTCTCTGTCCTGTTTAGGTAAAAAAACTATCATAGCTTCCTCCCAGGACTCTGGCATCTCTCCTTTTTGGAGCACTTGGGTCATTGTTGAATGCAATAATGGGCCTAAATCTTCTTTATATGCCTTATAAAACAGAGCAGAGAATCCATCTGGACCTGAACCTTTATTTAATTTGGCTTTATCAACTGACAGCATGCAACCCTGCAACACTGTAATGGAATAAGCATCCTTGCCCGCTCCTCTTGTTGTTGGGTCTCAGCTCCCATCTGCCTCTGACAGCATGGCCAAGGACAAAGGATGATAGGACTGAATGGTAAGCAACATCTACAGCAGAGGCCTTCAAACTATGAATTGGGGCCAGATACGGCCCTCCAAGGTCATTTACCCAGCCCTCACTCAGGGTCAACCTAAGTCTGAAATGACTTGAAACCACAACAACAACAAACCTATCTCACCAGCCAACAGCAGGCCCACACTTTCCATTGAAATACTAATAAATTTATATTTGTCAAAATTGTTCTTCATTTTAATTATTGTATTGTTTTAAAGTGTTTTTTTTTTTTGCACTACAAATAAGATTTGTGCAGTGTGCATAGGAATTCATTCATATTTTTTTTCAAATCATAATCTGGCCCTCCAACAATTTTAGGGACTGTGACCTTGCCCTCTGTTTAAAAAGTGTGAGGACCCCTGATCTAGAGGACTACAAGGTCTCATCCCAGCCATGATGGTATATGCTCCCCCTGTTCCTCTCACATCATGGTCACAGGCAACGGATGGAAGCATTACTCTGAATCCCTATTTGTCATTGTTGGTCAGAGAAGTCTAGTAGTTGTAGTCCCCAAAAGTAACATTTCCAAACTCTGAGTGCAAGCAGTGATAGGTGAGGACAACACATACATTGAATATACTGATAGGGATCTCAGTCCAAGTCTGCCCTAAGCTCCCAACAGCAAAACCTGTAGATAGCACAAAGCACAGCAGTTAAGTAACAAAGCAAGCTGGTACATGGGAAAGGAATTTTGATAAGCAGCGTGCATAATCTCATTACGTTTAGGATTTGATTAGACTAAGAAGCCCCTTGCACAGCCTAATGTATGGGTTGTATAATGCAATCGTTCACAGAGTTCCAAAGCTTTTCTAAAGTCAGATCAGGAGTTCATTGTAGCTGAACAGTCAGGACTTCTTTCAGGCCGGCTGAGGAAAGCAAAGTCTTTTCAACCGAGGACATCTGGCCGCATGTAATAACTCGATGAGAGAAGGAATCCCCTCTTGGCTTCTCGCCCAAACATCATGTGAAAGAGACTTCATTCATTAAAAAGAGAAGAATTCTTACCAACACAAATAGGAAAAACCAGCAATTCCTAATAGGCTGAGCCCTTTCCCCTTTGACGGATAACGGCGAGGGGTGCTGAAGAGATCCAATACGGCCAAGGGGAATATAGCAGTGTGCTGGGGGGGAAAACAAACAGTTTGTGTCACACAAAATTGCACTCAAGGTGCCTCTGTAGAACCCACCAATATTTATGAAACTGTCTGCAATCCCCCAAACCCAGGAGGCTGTATTCTGCTAAAATTGTGAATAGACAACAAGAGTCAAGAAAGAAGTTATACAACATGGATATAGAAACACAATACATCCTTTTCTAATAGCATTCCAATTCCACAGTGTGCTCTATAGAATTTTAGATTCACTTTGATATGCCAGCTCCAAAATTGTTTCTAGAATTTCTATGCATCATTGCATATATCCAGTTTTTCCCCCAAAAAGTAAGAAGACACTTGTTGTTACGTGTTGCAATATTATACAAAGTAACTCAGTGTGTTGCTCATTGCAGGTATCATTGATAAGAAAATAGCAAAACATTCCTAAACCAGCCAGGCTTTGAAGCTGCAAGGCCATTAGATGCTACTCAAGGTGGCCAATTGCAACATACACACTTGCCTCAATAAGACAAGAGGTCTTTCTCCCACCCTCACTTGCCTAGTTTCCAACAGACCTCACAACCTCTGAGGATGCCTGCCATAAATGTGGATGAAACATCGAGAGAGAATGCTTCTTGAACATGGCCATACAGTTCAGAAAACTCACAGCAACCTAGTTCCTAAATGCTTAAAAGCCTATTAAAAGTCACTGTAGAAGTAATTAGAAAATATCGGTTCAAGTGACACCGAAAATAACCTCATGACTGGCAATTCACTAATGGCAAACCATTTCTGGATATTCCTTGTCTAAGGAAAACCCTTTGAATTACATGGGATCACCATAAACCCAAAAGCAACATAAAGAACATAAATACAACAAGCTTGGAATGTATGTATAAGATCCAGAGGTGAAGGGGACTCGCTAAATTAAATAAGTAAAGGATTTTTTGGCAACAGGTGCTGGAAAAACAAAGCTAGGTTTGGTCAACAATGTGGGCATCTACTCAAGGTATGGGCAAACTTTGACCCTCCAGGTGTTTTGGACGTCAACTCCCACGATTCCTAACAGCCTACTGCTGTTAGGAATTGTGGGAGTTGAAGTCCAAACCACCTAGAGGGCTGAAGTTTGCCCATGCCTGATCTAAACTGTAGTGTTAATTGAGTTTGGCACCACTTTACTTGCCATGGCTCAGTGCTTTGGAACCCTAGGATTTGTAGTTTGATGAGGCACCAGCACTCTTTGGCAGAGAAAGTTAAGACTTTGTAAAACTACAAGCCCCATGATTCATAACCTTGAGTCATGGCAGTTAAAGTGTTCCCAAACTTCATTAATTCTTCAACGTAGATGCACTCAATGACACAAAGTTCATTTAAACCTGCCTTCATTTCTTTTTTAATGTTTCCTTACAAATTTATGGTGATAAAACAAATACATAGACAAGAAAGGAAATGAGCTTATGGAAGTTTACATTGATAAAGCCTAATTCCCAAAGCATTGTGTAACTCGCTCATTATTACAAAGTTTTCTACTTGCCAATGACTTTCAATTAGTTCTCCAAATGAATTCCTCTTGGTAGATGACAGAACGATGACTGTCATGTTGGCATTAGTAATGGGCCACATACCACAACTCCAAACAATTTGAAAAGCCTTTAAATGCATTTTGTTTTCTTCTTGGGAAAAGTGGCACCTCCTCAGAGCAATTTTTAATATGGCTCTAGTCACCCTGCACACCATGAGCTATTAAAGGCAATTAAACTTCATTTCCACTATAATGTATTGTTTAATCTAGCATTCATTCAAATAAATGCAAGCTTTGTTCTTTGTGCAAATCTTTTTTTCAAAAAAAAAGTGTTTAAAAAGCAAATCGTTGTAATTAGGCCTGGATTGACACCAGTCTCTGAAGGTTGGAGGGGAAATGGATGGAAACAGTGACTCATTCTGGTGTTTTTCATTAACAGTTTCTTTTCAGTTTCATTTGTAACAAGTAAAACAAAGAAAAGTTATTTGGAGAGGGTATTTCTCTCCTCTCCAAAACAAGAGGGAGAAACCCCAAACCAAAACTGCTGATCTGAATAGCATTGCACATAGTAATTTTGTGTCAGAAGCGATTTGAAAAACTGTAAGTTGCTTCTGGTGTGAGAGAATGCCCAGATGTTTCTACCATCCTTTGGGAGGCTTCTCGCATATCCCTGCATGAGAAGCTGGAGCTGACAGATGGGAGCTCACCCCACTCCCTGGATTTAAACTGTCAACCTTTCGGTCAGCAGTCCTGCCAGCACAAAGGTTTAACCCATTGCATCACCACGGGCAATGGGTGGAATGCGTGAACAATTTTGTTTTGTTCAGATAATTGTTGAAACTTTGCCTTGCGATATGTTTTGTACTACTTTGCTTTGATTTACTTACTTATACAGTTTAATTAAAAAGGGTGTTAACAGGCTACAACTGTTACTATGATGTTGTTGTTGTTCATTCGTTCAGTCGTCTCCGACTCTTCGTGACCTTATGAACCAGCCCACGCTAGAGCTCCCTGTCGGCCATCACCACCCCAGCTCCTTCAAGGTCAATCCAGTCACTTCAAGGATCCATCCATCCATCTTGCCCTTGGTCGGCCCCTCTTCCTTTTTCCTTCCATTTTCCCCAGCATAATTGTCTTCTCCAAGCTTTCCTTTCTTCTCATGATGTGGCCAAAGTACTTCATTTTTGCCTCTACTATCCTTCCCTCCAATGAGCAGTCGGGCTTTATTTCCTGGAGGATGGACTGGTTGGATCTTCTCGCAGTCCAAGGCACTCTCAGAACTTTCCTCCAACACCACAGTTCAAAAGCATCAATCTTCCTTCGCTCAGCCTTCCCTAAGGTCCAGCTCTCACATCCGTAGGTGACTACAGGGAATACCATGGCTTTGACTAGGCGGATCTTTGTTGCCAGTCTGATGTCTCTACTCTTCACTATTTTATCGAGACTGGACATTGCTCTCCTCCCAAGAAGGAAGCGTCTTCTGATTTCCTGGCCACAGTCTGCATCTGCAGACATC